AGGTTGCTTCCATCTCTTAGCTATTGTGAAAAGAGCAGCAACAAATATGGATGTACAAGTGTCTCTACAATAGGATCAGTCTTTGGGTGTATGACAAGGAGTGGTATAAGTGTGTCAAATGGTAGCTTCATTTGTAGTCTTTTAAGTATTCTTCACAGTGATTTCCATAGTGGTTGTACAAGTTTGCAGCCCCACTAGCAGTGGCTATGTGTTCCCCTTTCCCCACATCCTCTCCAATATTTGGTATCATTTGTTCTCTTGATCTTAGTCAGTATGACTAGTGTAAGATGAAATCTTAAATTGGTTTTAACTTGCATTTCCCTAATTAGTAGTGATGTTGAATATCTTTTCAGATGCTTCATAGCCATCTTCTTCTTTTGAGAACTCTCCGCTATCCTTTCTTTAAGGGAATCTCTGCCTCTCCCTTCAAACAAACACCGTGAACCTACATACCAATGGGACAGACAACAGAACACTATGAGATGATTCATCAAGTACCCTTAAAACCAATGCACAGGGAACAATATATTAAAAGCTCCAAAAGAAAGTAACTGTCAACCATAATGTTCTACTCAGGAAAAATGTCACTTAAAATTCATAGAGATAAAACTGCATTGCAGGAAACTCATGAATTAATGCAATTAATTTCACTCAAGGAGCACTGCAGATTATAATTAAAGGCAAATAATATACACAGCAATTAAAAAGAAATTATCCATTAAGAAAAAGGAAATCACACATTTAATGTGAGGAATCAATAAATGGATAAGAGCTGAGAATTAGTCAACCACGTGCCACACACACCACAAATTCTAACAGGAAAGAAAGAATACTGCCAACAAGCCAACATTCAGGACACCAAGGACATCACAGGGAATAAAAACACTAAGGAAGGTTGAGTGTGGTAGTGCACGTCTTCAATTCCAGGACTCTGGAGGCAGAGGTGTGCAGATCTCTGTGAAACAGAGGCCGGCCTGGCTCATGTGGAACCTTGACTCCAAAAGGAAAAAAGAAAAAAGAAAAAAGGGAGGGAGGGACTCCTGAGCAGCCATGATGAACCATGACTCTTATCCCAGGAGTTGGGAAACAGGCAGGAATATCAAGTTTTCTAGATCATCTTCAGGTACATAGCAAGCTCCAGGTACATAGCAATCACATGATACCATCTCCCAAAATATAAAAGAAGAATTCTAGGATGAGGTATGGTGGCAAATACCTTTACTATTATTATTATTATTATTATTATTTTATTATTATTATTATTTTATGTGTATCTGTGTATTGCCTGCATGTAGGTAAGTGTATCCTAATGTTGTGTAATGCCGGCGGAGGACAAAAGAGGCTGTTGGATTCCCTGGAACTGGAGTTACGGACAGTTGTTAGCTGCCATTTAGGTGCTGCATGGGTCTTCTGCAAGAACAGTCAGTGTACTTAACCGCTGAGCCATCTCTCCGGCCCCTGTTCCTTATCTTTTAAAATTTCACTGCAACTGGGCATGGTGGTACATGCCTTTAATCTCAGCACACAAGAGGCAGAGGCTGGTGGACCTGAGATTGAGGCCAGTCTGGTCTACACAATGAATTCCAGGCCAGCAGGGAGACAAAAAAAAAACCAAACAAACCAAAATACTCCATTGCAAATAAACACACACATTATTATTAATTATTGTTATTATTATTATTAAGGGCTAATGTTGTCTTGTACATGGAAATTTTCAACCAGCTTTGGAATCATTGTTTCAGGCTATTCCAAACCTCTCAAGAATCTTTAGATATTCTAATTTCGGTTAGACTAAATTAAAATCACAAAATTCAATTTTCACTAAACCTGATGTGAATGAAAAACTCAAATTAGCTCTTTTACTACTCACAGATCAGAATGTAAAATAGAGCCATTTATCCACTTCCACATCTTCTCTGGTAATGTATAATTTAGTCCAATCCAAAATAACTGTCCTTTTCTCCTTGAGAAGTTCTGTATGAACATCTAGAATCAAAACAGAATAAGAGACTTAACTTTGAATCTGTTTAAGCAAGACTCATTCTTTTACTTACCCTAAAGTTCAAGCATCACTCCTGTTTGAAGACCTTCATAACTCCCCACCAGAGCTAATTATTTCTTCCTTGTGAAATTACTTTTTCTGTATTTAAATTTCCAGTTGATTCATCTCATTATATTAATTTCTTGGTGCCTATGCTTGATTAGTCTTACAGATGATGAGCTTTTAGAGGTCAAATTCTCCACCACCTTTGCACAGACACTTGGTTAAAATTCAGAGGTATCAGTACAGTTTAAAGATGGTGCTAAGGGGCTGGAGAGATGGCTCAGTGGCTGATCACACTGGCTGCTCTTGCAGAGGCCCTGGGTTTGATTCCTAGCACCCACAGGGTAGTTAACAACCACCCATAACTCCAGTTCCAGGGAATCTGATGCCCTCTTCAGACCTCTGAGGGCATTGTAACGGCATGGGTGTACTTACATACATGCTGGCAATGCACTCATATACATAAAATAAAATATTAAAAAAGAAAGTGTTGAATTCTACTAAACCATTTTACTGAACAATTTACCAATTCTTCTTGATCTTGAACAAGCAGCAACGTGGCTTCCCTTGCAGAGCAGTCAGCTAGACCTTCACTCCAGGGTCTGGAAGCTTGAGAAAAAACTAAGCATTTATCTCGATATGAGTGCCAGTCTCTTGGGCACTGTGATAGAGCTGGTCTTTCTAAAGTAAAAAGAACAAATGTTGCATTTATGCTGTGTTCCTGTTGCACCACAAGTCACGCACAATCGTTGCTTTACCTGCACACACTTTCACTAGCGTATGCCAGAACAAGATCAATGTTGTCAAGGAAACAATAAATGACAAAAACCTCATTTTATGCTTTGTTTCTATTAATAAACTTCAGGCAAAGTAAAATGTTTGGTACATTCCTTAAAACAGTCAAATATGGGGTGAATGATCACAAGGAAACAGTCTTCCAGGCAGCTGGTCAGTTACTCATATGAACTCATAGCAGTGGTGACAGCATGCACAAGTCCTATGCAAGCTCAAATCAGACAGAATCCCCGCATAGACATGGGGAAGTGGGTAAGAAATCCCAACCCAACCTATGGAACTTTTAGCCACTGGGGGCTTCTGGGAGGAGAAAAAACGGTGTCTTACAGGGAAGGGGCTGGGTGGGCTCATGGATGGACTAACACTGAGGGAGTTTTTCAGCTTTACATGAAGAGCCACAAGAAAACAATGAATGCTGAGGGAAGATATCAGTTCTCTCCAGGCATGTTTTCCCTGATAGGTTATCTAATCTCAGGTCCCAAGGCCCAATACACAAGTGCACATCTTCACGAAAACATGAACTGAGTACATTATATGTATATATGTGTTTAAGTGTATGTGTAACAACAATCAAATGAGAGACAAGAAATTGAGAGAGAACAGGGGAGACATGAGAGGGCTTTGGTGGGAAGCAAGAATAGAGGAAATGTTGCAAACACAGTGCTCATATAAATTCTCAAAAAAATTAAAACTATCAAGTTAAAAAAGAAAGACTTTTGAAGTGGATAATAGTAGGAACACACAGGAGAAAATGAAGACGGTGTGCCTCAGACCTCAGCCCAGCATTGTACTAAATGACGAACTGAGGAATCACTTCCACTCTAATCGGAGCAGAGCCAAGGGCATCCACTTCTCACACAGAATTGTGCATCAGCTGATACTAAGGGCAAGAAGGAAAGAGAAAACTTCACCATAATTAATACAGGAAAAAAGCAAGATATTACAATTTGCAATTAGTATATTTCTGCAACTTAAAGAGCATAAATAGTGAACCAAAAACTTCA